AACGATTTTTTTTTTTTTTTTTATGTCTGGGAGAATTAAGGGCAGACAGAATGGGGAAGGGCCCCGATTGCTAGTGACTATTCCCAGGGTGATTATAGCTGAGCCACATGGGGTGAAGGAAACTTTGAGGGGGTTTGAACTAGGGTAGTAGTCTTTTTGAAGTCAGAAGGTCAAGGACAGTGTTTTTGTGGTTTGGCCCACCCCACTCACACCCACCTCAGTCTCCTGAGAAGTCTTAAGGCATAAGAACTGTAAAGCTGAGGAGACAGCTCAGTGGGTCAGAGTAGTTGCTGTGAAAACATGAGGACCTGAGTTCAAGTCCCCAGCATGCATGTAAACACCGGCCATGTGTGCCTATAACCTGAGTGTTAAGGAATGGAAATAGGTAGATCACCTCACTAGTGGTGGCGCACGCCTTTAATCCCAGCACTCAGGAGACAGAAGCAGGAGGATCTCTGAGTTTGAGGTCTGTCTGGTCCACAGAGCGAGATCCAAGACAACCAGGGCTACACAAAGAAACCCTGTATTGTGATATGTATAATATATTATATATATTTATATTAGATATTTTTATATTTATTATATATTATTTAAATTATTGTTTATTATATATAATTATATGTTATCTAATATATAATTAATATATATATATATTATATATATATATTTGTTGTCAAAAAATAAATAAAACCCAGCTCAGTAGGTAAAGGCATTTGCCGCCAAGCCTGACAACCTGAGTCTGATTGCTGGGACCCACATGGTAGAAAAAGAAATCCAACCCTGCAAGCTGGCCTCCACATGCACACTGTGCTGTGCATACATGTGTGCAAATTGGCACCTAACTTAGGTCATATATACACTCATACATACATAAAATGAGTAAATAAATGTAATATTTAAAATTTTTTATCTTTAGCCGGGTGGTGGTGGCACACATCTCTAATCTCAGCACTCGGGAGGCAGAGGCAGGTGGATCTCAAAAAAAAAAGTCTTGAACCACCACACCTGGCCCAACTCTGCCATCCTTTAAAAGCATCCAGTCCAGTCTTCAGAAACTATATATATATATATATATATATATATATATATATATATCTTATTTATTTTGCTGTGTAGGCCTGTATTTCTGTCTGTGCACCACATATGTGCCTGATGCTCTCAAAGGTCAGAAAAGGACATCGGATTTCCTAGAACTGGAGTTATAGATGGTTATGAGCCACCCCATGGATGCTGGGCAATAAACCCAGGGCTTCAAGGAGAGCAACAGGAGAGCTGACTCATCTCTTCAGTTTGTTTGTTTTCAAGACAGGGTTTCTCTGTTTATCCTTGGCTGTTTGGAACTTACTCCTCACTCTGTAGACCAGGCTGTCTTTGAACTCACAGAGATCTGCCTGCCTCTGCCTCGGGAGAACTGTGATTCAAGGCGTGCACCACCCCACCCCACCCCCAACCCCGGCTCCCAATAATTTTTTAAGGTAGAATATATACAGGCCAGCATTCCTATCACTTGGGGGTGTAAGGAGGACAGTTAAGAGTTTGAGGCCAGCCTGGGCTACATGAGGCCCTGTCTCAAACAAGCAGGCAAACAAGAAAGGAATGTACATGTTCATGGAGATACTGTGAAGAAATGAGGGAGAGTGAGGGGTGCGTTTATGTAGGTCAGGGAAAGCCCGAGGCATAGGTGGATTTGAATAAAGAAGAAGTGAGCTGCAGAGGCCTCTGGGCGAAGAACAGGGTCAGGCTAAGGAAGAGCAGCTGCAGACTGGACTGTGACACGCAGCGTGTTTGAGGAACCTCAGGGAAGCCAGTGGCGAGAGCCGAATGAGCTGCTTGGCCAGTTACGCAGAGGCCAGGTTGTCTGGGGTCTTCTGGACAGCTGTAATTCCCTGGCTTTTTATCTGGGCAGCCACTGGAAGAGTCTGCATGGACATTTATAGTACTTGTTCATCTTATTTTAGTTTTTGGTTTTTTGAGACAGGATTTCTCTGTGTAGCAGTCCTGGCTGTCCTGGAACTCACTCTGTAGACCAGGCTGGCCTCTTAACTCACAGAGGTCTGTCTGCCTGCCTCTGCCTCTCAAGTGCTGGGATTAAAGGTGTGCGCCACCACTGCCTGGCTATTTTACTTTATTTTTATAACTTATTTAATTTTATTTTATGTGCATTGGTGTTTTGCCTGCATGTATGTCTGTCTGTGGGATCCCTTGGAACTGGAGTTATAGACAATTGTGAGCTGCCATGTGGGTGCTGGGAATTGAACCCAGTCTTCGGGAAGAGCAGACAGTGCTCTTAACCACTGAGCCATCTCTCCAGCCCCACTTGTTCATTTTATTTAGA